GAACTAAGCTACTGCACTGCAGATGGTAATTTGTAATAGTTGTTTCATGTTGGGAGTGCCTGTCATTGTGTCTTGCCCTTTCATCTGTCACTGAAGCCTTGCAGTGAAGGTGCGGGGCCTCCTGGGGCAGCTGGGGGGAAGCAAGGAAATAAACCTCCATGCCCTGAGGCCAACAGCCAACAATTAACAGGAAACCGAGAAACAATAAAGTCTACACACTGAAATAATTCCAGATGATACTAGAAACATAACACTTTTTTTGCAACACAGGCTAGTAAGGTTCAACTTTTAAGCAAATATTTCCTTCCACAGTGAGTCTCGAGGCCCTGTCATCAGTATTCAAACACTTTTGCACGGAACAATCAGCCACAGACTTCATTCTGTCATCTCGTGTCCCCTGAAACAGCCCCATGATGGGGCTGGGGAGATAGCTTGGTGGTCTAAGCGCCTGCCTGGCAAGCACATGGACCCAGGTTCGATCCCCAGTACCGCATGCCATGCCAGCCCCGGTCACTAAGCCGACCACCAAGACCGGGTGTGGTGGCACATGCCTATAATCCCAGCACTGGGGAGGCTAAGACAGGACGATCACTACGAGTCTGAGCTGCATAGCTTGACCTTGTACCAAATAAATACATAAATAAGTAAATGATTTTTTAAAATAATAGAAGTCCCATGGGTCCCTTTGGGCAAGCAGAAAACTTCTTTTCAATTGTCAGGTGATAGCGTTTCTTACCCTCCTGCACAGTAGGGGACTGTGGTGGCTGAGCCATTCATTAATGAAAAAAAGTAAAGGTTTACCGTGCCAGTTAATTTAGGAAAAGAGGTGGTGTTCAGAATTTAAATCACAGGGGCATTTCTACCTGCAGATGTATTTCTAGCATTACAAAATAATTTTTCTAAAAGATAATAATAATTTCTCATACAGATGTAGTTCCTCCCCTTTGACTGTAGCTACCTTAGGAGACAAGAAGTCAACTCCCCAGTGACAAATGCATGGCTCAATAAAGCAGAACTTCGAGACCATGCGGGGCTTGTGTCTGTTTTACCATCACTGCAGTCCCAGATGTCATTAAGTCACACGGGGCCACCTCAAGTGGCAGGGGCCTGAAGTTTGGGCCACAGTGCACACCCACTCGTGTGCAAAGTCCCCCCACACACGCGTGTCCCTTCCACCACAGCATGGACACCTCTGACCGTTCCTGCTTTTGTTCTGCCTCTTCTGGGAAGACAGCTAACTGCCACAAGAGCCCTGCACCTGTATGGCTAATTAGACCAATTACTGCCATCATTAGTACTCCCTCATTTAACTAGGGCCCCCCCGAGTCAAGGGGGGGTGTCAGGGGACACCTCCAAACAGAAGTCCCAATGCTGGGCAAGGAAGGCAGCTTGCCATCTCTACCCTCACCCTACTCCACACCTCTCTGCTGCAGGAAAATGGAGCCAGGGAGGTGGCTCAGATGCCAGTCCTGGCTGCAGGACTGGACACAGTTCTCCAGGCCTCAGTGTGCTCATCTGCAAAACAGACCAGGGCCTTCCAGCCCTGAAAGGCGCTACACTAGTCAACATGGACCAGCCCGGCTCTGTATGCCAGAGGGACGTGACAAGCCGCTCTACGAGTACTGTCCCAAGTCCTTGTTGAGAACCAGCATCCTCTCCACACGACAGCCTGAGGTGTCCGCACGCAGGATGTAAGGACCGCAGAAGGAGACAGGTAGGTGCACACGGCAGCTGCTGTGAAGCTGCCATGTCCCCGATCCAAACCATGGAGCTCCCAGGGCTCCTTCACATCAAAACCACTAAGTGGAAAAAGGAAATGAACTCCTGCTAGAGTTCATTTTGTTTTTTGAGTGTCTCATTGTATAGTATAAGCTGGCCCTGAGCTCACTATGGAGCCCCAACAGGTCTAGAAGTTGTAACAATTCTCCTGCCTCAGCCTCCAGAGTGCTGGGGTTGCAGGTACGGTGACCACACCTGGCTCCTACTAGAATTTTATTTTATTTATTTTTTAGCAGAATCAGGGATTAAACTCAGGCCCTTGCGCTTGTCAGGCAAGTGCTTATTCTACTGAGCCATCTCCCCAGCCCCCTCCTACTAGAATTTTAGAAGGTGAGAATCTAGCAACCTTGTCCTTCCCCTTGTGAAAGCCAGTGTCCAAACTTCCAAACTAAATCAAGGGAACTATGTGTTGCCGTACCGAAAAGATACATCCATGGTTTTAAAAGAAAGGTTGCTAGAAAACAGCATGAACCTTATTTGTATAAAAATACACCAGGACACTAATATAGACCATAAAGGAACCAGAACTCTAACTTCATTACCTCTACATCACAAAATTATAGGCAACTTTTGTTTTTCACATCTGAATTTTCCCATTCTATAAATGAACATGAAATAGGGGGTAGGGATCACTGGCGGCTGAACCCAGACCTCTGCACTGAGCTGTATCTCCAGCCTTTTTAATTGTTTTAAATTTTGAGACAGGGTCTCACTGAACTGCTTAGGCTGGGCTGAAGCCTGCAATCCTCCAGCCTCTGCCTCTCTTAACTGTGGCGATGATGAGCGTGGAGCACTATACCAGGCCTGAACACGAAACTTTTCGAACTCAGAGCCCCTTATGCAGCGTGCCGCATGCCAGGACCAAGAGAGCAGATGGTCAGGCCAGGGGTGTAGTTCAGTGGCACAGCACTCGTCAAGAACATCCGGGGTCCAATCCCCACCATGCGAGGAGTGAGGGAGACAGAAGAGAACGACTCAAATTGCAATACAGAAGTTTTGTTCCATTTTACGCCAGCACAAACTCATTCAACCAGCAGGTATATGCCCTTTAAGTTTTTGTTATATTTTTAGTACTGGTGGTTGAACCCAGGGGTCTTTGCTCTTCTTTTCTGGGATACTGTTGTCTTAAGTAGCTAAACCCAGGCCATCCCCTAACTTAGGATCCTCCTGCTTCAGCCCACAGAGTGCTAGGATTACTCGTAGGTATCTGCTTTCTTAGTTGCAGAATCTGTAGCTGACTGGCAGTTTTGGACATCTACCTGCATCGTCTTACCTCGGCCTCCTCACAACCACACTGCTCAATCCCCTTATTGCCCATCAGGAAACTGAGGCTCAGAGGGAAGGTTGGTAAGTGGTGGGCAAAGGAGGTGAATCTGTCAGCCTGGGGCTAGGGTCAAGGCCCTCAAACAACTCCTTGAAGACCACAAACCACATCCAAAGCTCATCCGTGCTTGGTACCCAGAACCTGAGCTCCCAGAGGGCCCATGCCACAGGCTCCGGGAGGCCCCGTTCCACAGGCTCCCAGAGGGCCCATGCCACAGGCTCCGGGAGGCCCCGTTCCACAGGCTCCCACCTATTCTTCCAAGACACTCAATGCCACCCTCTCATTCAGGAATTCTAGACTTGAGCTTGCCTTGAAAGCTGAGCCCACAGGGCTTTCCTGCTTCCAGGTGGCGCTGATGTCACTGTGAGGCCAGGGCCAGGGGACACTACCACAACCTTCTAGGGTTGCCAGAGACAATGGCAGTCACAGGACCCAGGCAGCCTCCAGATGGCTCCGGAGTGTTAGGTAACGGCCTATCTGAGCTCTGCCACCCAGCACCCAACCCGCAGCCACAGGGACACTGCCTGGGCTCTTCCATGCCTTCCAAGCTGAAGACATGATCAGAACAGGTCCCTGGCCGGGCACAACAGCCTGACAGCTAGATTCACTTCTTGGTAGAAGGGGAAGCTAAGGCCTGGCTAAAGGGCAGAGTCAGATAGATGTGGGGTAGGACTTGGGCACGACTTGGTCTGCTGGACCCCATCAGCAAGAGCTGCTGCTGAGGACAGTGCAGTAACTTAGGGGAGGCTGGGGAGACAGCTCTGCGGTCCAAGCACCTGCCTAACAAGCGCAAGGCCCTGGGTACATTCCCCGTACTGCATGCCGTGTGGGCACCGGAACCCCGAGCATACTGCGCTGCAATCTCAGCGCTGGGGAAGCTGAGACAGGAGGGGCACTGCGAGTCTGAGCTGCGTATCGAGACCCTGTATCAAATACATGCTTTTTAAAAAAAATTAAAAAGTAATAATAATTTAGGGGTTTAAGAACATGAGGGAGGGAAAGGTAAACCTGGAGAAAACTTACAGCAAGCTCCACACCTCTTTTGAGTCCTTCGGGCACCTACTAAGTCACTGATCCCAGGATCCATCCAGCACCAAGCACTGAGCTAAAAGCTGGCACATCGCTCTATTTAATCTTCAAAACATCTTTTCCTTTACAGGGCAAACCCCGTGCCTTGCACACTAGGCAAGCACCCCACCCTGCATGATACCTCCATCCTTTTACTTTTTTTTTTTTTTTTTTTTTTTTTTGAGACAAGGTCTCACAGTAAGCTGCCCAGGCTGGCCTTGAACCTGTGATCCTCCTGCTGCTGCCAGGTGTGCATACCACTCCAGCCCCACACAACCATGGCTTCGAGGAAGAACTTCACTTCCCATTTTACAGATGAGGAAACGGAGGCACTGAGCAATAGGCCCAGGAATATAGGGGGTTCACCTGGAGTTCAAGCCCAGGCTGGTAACCTAGGCTGTCCCACGCTGGGGCCTGGGTTCTCTTCTCCACTATTTCATTCTTGTGCTGCTGGTTTTCACACCCAGGAACTTGTACACACACACACACACACACACACACACACACACACACACACACAAGGTCAGCATGCATCTACAGAGCCGCACTCCGACCCTATTCATTTCCTTTTTTCCCCTTTTTGCTGTAGTGGAGATTGAACCCAGGGCCTTCATCCTGAGGCACATATCCAACCCATTTTGATTTTTATTTTGAGACAATCTCACTAAATTACTAAATTACCCAGCCTGGGTCCTCCTGTTTCAGTCTCCCAGAGTACTGAGATTATGAGTATACAAGTATACCTATTTGTTTTCTAACTGACATAACTCAATTTACAAACACAAAATGCGTGCTACCTTGTAATGTAAGTTACAGCTGCAACAGTTTCGGATATGAGTCATACTCCACAGAAGGTGCCCACCGCCCCCAAGAGCTCCCCAGTGCCTGCTTTGTGTCGATCTCTGCCCACTTGCAGAGGCAAACACTGTTCGGCCACCTGCTACCTGCAGCAGGGCTATTCTAACCCCGACGAAACCACAGGCCCCAGGGAGCCCTGTGCTCACCCACGCTCCCCTCTTCTGGTTCCCAAGGCCACTCATCCTCCCATCCTTTGTGCCTGACCCAGACAGTTGGGCCCAGGTAAGCCACAGACTTCCCACTTCCAGCATGATCACCCTGGCTAATCCCAGAGGAAAGAAAACAAGTTTCAGATAACCAGGGAAGCAGAGAGGCCCTCCAACCGCACTTAGCCACTGGCCAAGTGCAAACAAATGATGAGCTGGCATTTCTCAAAGGAAAGGTCCTACAGGCTTTTCTGATTTACAAGCAAGCAGTAACCTCTCCGGAATTCCAAAGGTCAGGGAAGAAAGAGAAGCAGTCCAGGGACTCTTGTTCTCCCCAATCCCAGGAACATATAAGATGAACGCAAAAGCTGGGGGAACTGAGGGGGTGCTTAATTAAAGCCTGGGGCATGGGGAAGGACAGGTTGAAATTTGCTACACTGGTGGAGCCCAGCAATACTGGAGTCCAGCAAGGCCGCCATGTCCAGCGGTCAGAGCAGGGAGGCTGACCAGGCTAGAACCAGCCCTGAGGCAGTCTCAGAAAAACTCCTTTTCATCAGCGTTCTCTGGGCAGCTCAGCCAGTGCTCACAACACATTTTTCTTGGTAGAATCTAGTCTAACACTGAAGGTTGGTAAGATCAGTGACAACTTTAAAAAAAAAATTAAGATGGCAGTCTCTCCCACAGCGCAACACCAAATAACTTACAAAAACAAAAAGAGAAAATATCTTAAAACAGACCTTTTAGGGTAGAATCTATTTAAATCACCCCTGGACAGCCAAAGCGGAAGCCAGATTCTCATCAGCTAATGGATTCAGGCGCTAACAGGAGGCCAAGGCACCCCTCCTCCTGAGCAGGGGAAGGTGGGGGCTGATCCACGCAGCACATTAGGGTGTTTTATTTTGCTTTAAGCGCCTCGCCTCCGGTGAATCATCCTGACTCTCAGCTGCAATATGCAGTTTCCGAGTTAAACACATAAGGCAGCAGTGGAGGCCAACACCTCCTTGGGAGCAAGCTGTCAATCAGGCAAAAGCTCAAACGGCAACCGGAAAGGATGTGGGCCACTGTAGGTACAGGCGTGCAGGGCAACTTCCACCAACACCCCGCTTAAGCCACCCATTTCCAAAAGGGCACCCCGGCGTTGGCCTCACTGTGCTCCCTCATTTCTTTCTTCCTTTCTTTCTTTCTTTTTTTTTGGCGGTATCAGGGATCAAACTCTGGATCTTGCACTTGTCAGGCAGGGGTTTATGCCACTGAACTATATCCCCGGCCCCTCTCTCCTCATTTAACAGTGACTTTAAACCCAGTTCTGAAGAAGACACGTAACTGATTGCACTGGCTGTGAAGAAACTAGAAAAAGAAACGCAAGGCCCTCAAAAGCACCAGCACCCAACCTGGAACGAAACTTTACAGTCACCCTCGGATGCTCTCAGCCCACCCCCGGCACTTCCTGTAACCGGACGTTCTCCATTACACTTCTGTGACCCCCCCAAAAAAGAAAAGGGGCTTTTGCACCTCACTGCTCAGACCAAAATTACATTCTTGAGTCTGAGGTCAAAGGCACTATCTACACCATGTAGGTGACAGCCGATTCCAAATTTCCTGCATCCAAACGAACTTCCACAGTGTAGTCCCAAAGTCTTCACTAATCTCCCTCCGCCCTGGCACCCTTACATTTCCACTTTTAAGCTCCTAAAGCACCATTCTTCACCTCCGCTCTAGAGCAGGTAACTTACATTTGCAGCATGATTTGGTTCAAAAAGATGCCATCCACTAAGTCCATGTACATAGTCAGGTTGTCCTGGTGACCGCTTCCGAAAGAGCCGAAAGTTTTCACCTGCAGGGAGGTGGAAGAGCAGAGAGAGCCCAAAAGTCACCCACAGGCACAAACGGTCTCGGGCCGCCAGGGCAAAGCGGGCTGGAGCGCGTGGGTGTTGCAGCCGCTGCACCCTTCGGCGGGTACCAAGCCCACCTTCCTCCCTAGGCCTCTGTCCCCTCCCCGCGCCCGGCAACGGACGCCAAGCCAGAGGAGGAAAACTTCCTTGCCGCTTTTCGCCGGCGTTCCAGAGCGAAAAATAAATAAATAAATAGGACTTTTCAATAAATTTCTCACGTTTAGATCCATCGGAAAGCAGGGCGCCCACCCAGCCCGTTTCTGTTCCCACTCGGCCCCTCAATCCCCGCCCGTCACGGCCATCCACCGGTTGGTCTTTGGGGTTCAGCAATTCCACGAGGGTAAAAAAGAAAAGCAGTCCCTCTGGGAAGTGGTTACAGCGAGGACCATGGTGACCGCTCGGACCCTGTGGCCGGGCCGCCAGCCCAGCGCCAGGCGGGAGCAGGTGTCCCTGCTCAGCTCCGGGCCGGCATGAGTGCGGCGGGCTCGGCGGCGGGCGCACCACAGAGACGCGGGCTCCGGGACTAGGAAGCTTGGGAACTGCGGGACCCGGACCCCGGCCGCGCCGGGAGCCACTTGCTGCGCCCCCCCCACACACACACACCGCCCGGTGCACCAACAAAGGGG